TTGGATTCTGGAATTCAATTATAAGTGGGATCCAGAGTACTTGACCTTCATTCCAGATTCCAAGAGAAAAATTTCCTAGATTCTGGATTCCATTACATGGGGTGACAGTGACCCTATATGAGATAAATACGTTTTCTGTCAAACTAAAACCTGTCAATTGAGCTTCTAATTACGGTAGGCTAAGTGTGCATGTTGTTCTTGTCACTATATGCTTGAAAAGGGGGTTTGTGGACCAGGTGAAATAGTGGCTGGTACTGTAGCATTCCAAAACCAGCTGGGTATGATTATGAAGCAGCTATAATTCAGTTCTAAAACTTGGATTTACAAAAATAAACTGCTTCAAAGCGTGCATATATCTCCATCCACTGAATAAACAAGAAGGGGCCTGTATCATCTTGATCATGGGATTTTTCATCTAGGGATGCCAAGGCTTTTGAAGTGTTTTGCGCCAGAGTCCCCATTAGCATAGTGAGCTTTTAATTGCCTAGTCACGGCCAATGAGTTTCGGGTCACATTGTCCCAAGCGAAATACTGAAACAGTTTCCCTTCAGTTTGCCTAACATAAGTCACCGAAATGAATTGACCAAGAAGGCCTGAGAAAATGCCACACAGGGACAAGGCAAGGCTCTTAGCTTGTTTAGGTGTTGGGCTGTGAGGTTGCAGCTGTTAGATGTGCTGGCTTAAATACTTCCTTCCGATACCTTCCGATACCTTTGTCCGAGACTGGAGTGGAAAGGATAACTGGATTTTCTTTCCAGTGGGTCTCGTAGTGGTCGCCTGATTTGACCCTGATTTGACATATTTGTGTGCCCAGTTTGACACATTTGTACGGCATGTGAGCCTGATTTGGCTTATTTTTTAGCCTGACTTATTTTTTTGCCTGATTTGGCATAATCTTGAGCCTAGTTTGGCATATCTATGAGCCTGCTTTGGCTTGAGTTGTGAGTCTGATTTGGCATATCTGTGAACCTGCTTTAGCTTATTTTTGAGCCTGATTGGGCATGTTTCAAGTCATTTTGGTGTCGGCTCGTTTTGGGCCTGTAATATAACTTTTTCAATTCTTCTTTGCGCAAATATTTTGCTCAGCGCCTCCCTTGTTCGATGTGTTTTGTTCAGTTAAGTAATATAAATAACGCTGTAGTTGTTTTATTTTTACACTCTTTCCTGTTATTTTAGTTGCCCTAAATTCCAGGTTATGGCTTGAAACAGCCCCCCTTGACTTATTCTTCGCTGAGGGATACAGTTCCAGGCCTGTCTGGTTTGCATTTGGACGCTAACGCTCCATCCACAGTCTTGAAGATACGGGTCTGGCTTATTGTGGTGGCGTGAGTGGGCTTTATCGAAGATTGGTGTTTCTGCTATTCGAAAGACCTTTGTATGTCTCATTGTATCTATCTAAATTAGCTTAGCCTTCTGTGGATAAGACTGGCGCATCTTATTTAGAATCTACTGTTTACAGTATAAATTGGGGCCATGCAGTGGCTGGTGTTTAAGTTTGTTTGTTTGCCACGCCTTGCTTAAGTTTCCCTTTAAATTAGAGGACGCCAAAAGAAGCTGGGCTTGCGCGCCCTGTTCAGCCTAAGTAGCTGCTTTCTGTTAGTTCTGTCAGGCGATTGTTGCAGATTTTGCTTCTAAATCGCGATGTTTTCCATCTAAAATATGTACATGTAATAGTTTTATGTCGATTTATGTTTCCGTGCAAGTGCAAAGTAGTCTATTTTGAATTCTGAGGCCTTGTCCCGTAGCTGAGACCTAGTGTTTTATTAAGTTCTCGCCTCAGTCCTCCTCTCCGTTTCCATTAGTTCGTAGAATTGTCCAAGCTCAATCTTAGGAGTACGGTATATTATACTTTCATTCTAGTGCAAGTGTTTCTTTATTCATGTTATTTAGGAGAGGAGTTTAAGAGGCATATTAAGCCATTAGCTAGTGATGTGTCTAAGTAAGTATGGCTCCCACAAGTGAGTGCGAGTCTTACGCGGCATCCAATACAACTTGTAGGAGAATAGCTGGTGGTTTGTCAGATATCCCCGCCGGTTGGAGGTGCGAGTCCACTAAGCCGACATAGGCATTTTCGGCGTGGTCTTAACGAGCTCTCCGTTTCTAGGTCACTTTCAGTCCAGGTGTATTTCATAGAGATATAGATATATTTCAGTATATTTTCCAGAATTTGCGTGTAATTGTTAGAGCTTAGCCTTATCTAGGTCACTTTCAGTCCAGGTGTATACAAGTTTTAGTATTTTTTCTAGTATACACGTGTAATGGTTTTATTAGAAGTTCTGCTTTTGTCTATTGCAGTTCTGAGTAATTTGTTTAGAGTCCTGGCGGGAGACGAAAGTTGCGCCTGGCCCGCAACAGATTTCCTGTGCTTTTTTCCCTACGAGGGTTTTTGGGACAGGTTTTTTTCTGGCGACCCTGGCACACTTACATGTAACTTAAAGGTTATGTGGCTTTTAGTTTTATTTCATTTGCTGTAGTGTTTAATTTTTTGGGAATAATTAAAGTGGGTTATGGCGTTGCACCCAGGCCATATCCAATATTCTCCATGATTTGTTGCCCATGTTGTTTCTTGTTTTTCTATTAACTTCTAGAAAGTGCAGAATCATTTTTTCAATACACAGGGCCATATTGTAACGAAGGAGTTTAACATAAAAGCAGCCTGCATAAAAGAGACAAGATAACAAACGAACGGTGAATTTGGAGAAATGCAGTCGCTGTTCGTATCATAGGCGGCCCAGACGTAGTTTGTGTCGATATATTAAGATTTTTTTTATCTCTATTGGAGGCTTACGAGCAATGGCTTCAACGTTGATGGACTATGGCGTATTTAGGACGCTGATGAAATATTCCACCCATCTCTCCAGGATGGCGTTCTTCTCAGTGAGTAGCGTTGTTCCCTCTCAACTAACCAGTGGTGATGTTTCGGAGGACTGAGGCTCATAAATGTTCTTCAGGCATTATAGAAGCGTTCAGTTTTGTTATTGCCAGCATATGCCTTTTTATTGAAACAGGCGTCACGGCGCCTTGAGGCTGAATGCACATGTTGAGTTTTCAGATGATGTCCGACAGTCTGCTCTGCACATCCCCCTTATCACTCTAACATCCTGCCTGTCTCTTCTCTAGACGGGAACATAATCGATCGTATGCCAAAGGTTGCTGCGTGGGTGCATCCAGTACGTCTTGGTGTGGGTGGGTAGCCGATAAACTGCAGTGTGAGATGCAAAAGTCTCCAAAAGTAAGTCCTCGGCGAGAGAGCCGAAAAGCCATGAGGCGATCGTTGCTTCCTTGGGGAATGTTGGTAAACTTACTGATCCGATATGTTTTGACAGCAGATCCCACTCCTGCCTCACGATGTTCTTCACTGTAGCAATCGCTCGAGAAAAAGCCAGGCTTCGATCAACTGACTTTTATTTGCTAATCTGTTTCATTGCGCTTCGATATGAATGTTGTATGTGCCCAGTTCTCTGGCAACTAGAGCTGTCCGACTCAGGTCTGTAAGCTTTGGTGCTGTCCATAAGCGTATGCACATTCCATGTGCCGATGGTTCGCGATGTGAACTTTGTTTTCATCTTGATCTTTCGACCGCATAGATAGGATCCCCTCCTGCCGCGGTAAGCTGAGGCAGCCTTTGCTGGGAGCACCTTTTCTAGCCCCTTCCTCAGGCAATGGAGGAACGCAGAATTCCTAAAGGGGAATGCTCAGACATTCAGGGGATATGCCTAACTCCACGGCTCCTTCAGTCCAGTAGCGAACGAACCTAGTACGGTTGCGGCGAATCCGCACCTGCGGCCTCGTCACTCGCCCTTTGCGACAGATACTCATGATCAAGGATGAGTGAGTACGATATCTCAGTGACTTGCAAGTGAATTGGATTAAAGTGTGGGAGAGTTGCGCCGTGTCGTGAGCCTCACTCTCTCGTCCTGAGATTTTTAGGCCCTTTCGCGGGACAAAGGCGAGGTGGCTGGAGATAAAGTGGGAAGCTTTACAGCACAAGCTGCATGCAAGCCGTTGGCTCATAATGAGCTCATTCGCCCTTTGACAGGTTTTGTTTTTAGTCCTGCTGGGTGACTTTCCACCTTCCACTGACACCATTCTACAGTTTAGGGGCCGCGACAAAAAGAGCTCAGTTCTAGCTCTTTGATAAGACAGAGTAGTGAACGTGAACCTGATCTTATAGTTCGTGATGGATGATAGACTTCTATTAGAGGATTCAAGTAGTCTACCAACTGACCATTTATGGTGCCTTGTAGGTTAAGCGGACTGTTGAATTCACTCCTAGCCAGTGCAAGTTTTGTTAATACAGGCGTGCAATGGTCGGAACGTCACTGTTTATCTCTTTGATATTAGGGTATGCCCTTTAAACACTGTTGCAGTAATCTAATCGAAAGTAAAAATTTTAAGCCCATCATATGAGCGATATTTTCCTGTACATCCTATTGATCTTATTGCGGGAGTAGCATTTTTACAAACTTCATTGATGTGAACACTAAACGACAAATTATTATCCATTATGACACCTACGTTTCTAGCTTTCTTTTTAATGTCAATTCCTGTAAATGTACTGGTTGCTTCGTAAACCGCGATGTAAAATGATGGCGTAGCTAGGCCTGTCCCGATTGTGCTCGGCACCTTTTGCGTAGCTTTTAGCGTTTGGAGTAACCAAGAGCAACCTTCAAAAGGTTGAGTTTGATCGTCCGGGTGAACGTAGTCCTGAATAGGACTGTTGTTGTTGACAGTGACTGACGTTTCGACAACCTGTGCGGTAGTCATCTTCAGAGTCCAAGTCAGTTGTATCACGTCAGTTGATGGTATCATACTCTGGTTATTGATCTGATTGGTCAATTATGTCGCGATGTTATTGGTCGTCTGTCAGTTAAGCCGTGATGTTATTGGCTATGAAGACTCGTAATCAGTGATTGGTGCGTTTCGATCCGTCTATTGTCACAGTTAAACAGTCGTCTATTGTTAGTCAAATTGTCAGTTCTCCAGTTGTTCTCTCGTAGTTAGTTTTGCTTGATTTCGTCGATAAGTCGTTTGTACGGCGCTGGTAACTGTTGACTACGATTCAGTGGCGTTTGTTCTAAGTTAGTAAACCAGCTTTCTAGAGTAAGACGTTGATAGTAGTCTGTAGAATACGTTATACATGTCGCAGAGTCCCAGTCAATTTGATGTTTCGTCTTTAAATGGTGCTCAGCAATGTGATTGTTGAAGTCACCATTCCCGGTCGCTCGTTTGTGTTCGGTCAGTCGCGTGCTTAGGTTTCTGCCGGTTTCACCAATGTAGGAAGCCTGGCAGTCGCAGCATTTGATCTTGTATACTGCTCCCTGTCTGTCCTCCGGTTTGTCTTTGTCCTTGACATTAGTAAGCAGTCGTAAGAGCAACCTAGAGCAATTTTTGAGCAAAATATTGGTTTAGAGCACATATCAAGCCCGAAAAAGTCAACGATTTCATAGAAAACTTCAAGGATAGTCCTCTCTGCTAAATGTTTAGCAACCTCACTTGTCCACGTTTCGCAGGCCTAAAAGGGCAATTATTACCGTATGAACAATTAATTAGTATCCTTAACTGTTCTCCCATATCAGCGAGCGATACTCTAAATCTAAGTCTTCAAGTAATTTTTCTTGACCTATGTTATCAATCATTTTGAAGAACGAAAAATTAAGCTTCAAATCGCCTTTCTTTAAAAACAAAGATCCACCAACTTTAGAAGCAACTTTTGAGATTTAAAACGCAACTTTTTGGCGTTTCCAGCATTTTACGAGCATAATCGAGACAGGTCTAGGCGTAGCCGGTTTAGACGCCGACCACTCATCCATGCGTCAGGTTGAACTAGATTACAATGTTACAGTGATACCTAGCCCTGAACGTACGTTATGTCACGCCCACTTCGCTTGGCAATACCACACAACAGTTTGACCTCCAGCCATTAATCACTGGGTCTGGACAGGTAGATGTTCTCAGTTTTGGGACCCTAGTGGCTTATGGTCCCATAACCATCCGAGCCATTTCATTAAAACATGCATTTTGCGGAAGGTTTACATGGTAAAAATATACGATCCATACGATCCATTCCAACATATTATTGGGTCCAGACCCGGTTTTTTCTGCTGTGTGAATGGGGCTCAAATAATGATTTACTTATCTAGTGCGACCGCAGCCACTGCAACTTAACATTAACATTAATTTCTGATAAACAATTGTAAGTTCTTTTGTCATCTGGCTTTTGAAATGAAGCGCCTCCACCGCAACGTTTTCTATTGTAGAAGAAATGCACGTTTAAGAGGCAGTCTCCCTAAAAGCGGTCCACTCGATTTCGCGACAAAAAATACTTTTCCTTTATTTTTTGTCGGTGTAGAGGCTTTAGTAGGTATATACTAAAATCGCTATTTTTGTTTTCAAATTCTTAAGCCCAGTTCTGTTTCAATGGCTTGATGGAGTGCTTCGGTCAACGCCAACCCAATATTGTCTCCAGGCACAGGATCCCGCAATTGTCGTAATTGCGCATTGAATTGCGCCCGTTCCACCACATCACGCCAGCGGCGTCGTCGACCCATGGGTTGCATAGTAAACTGAAAGAGAGGGCCACGGGCGGCAGCCCCTCCCATCTGTTCCCACCGATCATAGGCGCGGTCCAATAGAGCATCCCCTTCGTCATCATCACTGAATGGATATGCCTCCGCCATAACAGCGGAAAACCATTTGAATTTTCCCGCGCTGGACGTAGACTTTTATAGACCTTCTCACGTGATCTCGCCTGCGCTGGGATTGGTGGACCCAACTCAGGTGAGAGTCAGGTGAGGGGGTTTGATTGACCAGAAGAAGATTGAGGGGGGTCCCCCCATGGGTACAGACTCCTTCCATCGCCTCTAGGCCTGGACCGAGATCGGTGATTGGCAGAGAATCCCTTAGATAAAGTCTGTCCATCAGAACAGACGTCAGTTGCGTTCGAGAAATGCCTAACAAAGATCCTGAAGAGAAGAAACGATTGAAGCACGAGTGGTATGTGAGAAACAAAGAGAGATTGTTGCAGCAGAAACGGGAAAAGCGGGCGGCCCAGAAAAAGGTGAAACCCCCCAAACCGCCTAAACCAGCACCGACCCCCGAACAGGAAGCGCGAGCCCGAGAACTTAACCGACTGGCCTGTCTGCGCTACAGAACCAAAAACGTGGCCTATGTACGCTTGCTGAACCGAGATTACTATCACAAACACCGCGAACAGATTGTGCAACAGCAACGGGACCGTCGTGCCAGGGATCGACAAACCAAAGAGAGTCCCTTTCGAAAATTACGAGCGTTGGCGGACGTGTGTTCTTCCCGTTTACTGGAATTAAATTATGGATACGCCAGCATCGCGCCGAAAAAAGCGGGACCCCGAGGCCAACAAACGAACCCAAAAACTGTATCGGAAACGTCAGTATGCATCCGTGAACGGAATCGAGAAAGTAAAGGCCCTCCATCGTCGACGCTACCACCAGCACATGGCAAACTTGAAATCCAAAGGGGAGTACGAGGCCTTTAAAGCCAAAAAACTAGAATATGGGATGAAACGCTATTATGCCATGTCGGAGGAACAACGGAGTGAAGTGAAACGCCGGAACGCCCAAGCCCAGAAAAACTGGATGGCAAAAATGAAGGAGGAAGGAACCTTCGAAGCCTACAAAGAACGCGTGAATGAGCGGCGGCGACAACTCCGGGCCGAAAAACAACAAGCCTTGGGGGAAGAGGGGTGGAGAGCGTTACAGAAAGAAAAATATCG